CCCAATATAATTGACCATTCATGAGCTTATTATTGAAATTTAACTCTCAAATATTGACAGGTTCGTAATGTTGCTCTTGGGATTGTATCCCGAAGGATAAATTGGGGGCAGTTGACAACTTTAGAGACCATTGATGGTTAGTATGGCTGATATGCAAAGATGCTTGCTTGTGGTAACAAATTAAGAATTATTTAACTCTACTGTAATGTTCCATGAAATCCATAGTGTATTAGTGTTATTGCAATATCAATCCTTTACTAGTTGGACTAGACCATAAGTCTACAACAAACCATCTCTAATCATTTTCGTCCCATTATGTATTCCATGCCATTAAAAGAAAGATACAGTGATGATGACAGCATCAGAAGTTCATAATATATTTCGTAAGAATGTTGTGACAGAGGGTCATGAGCATGAGCATTAAACTTTTCCATAATGTCTTATTTTGGGTATTAATTTATTTTGTTGATCTGCTTAACTGCATTTGGATAATTAGGATGTTTTCTTTTGGACTGTTTGCAGTCCCAGACCAGACCAGACTTAACTTCTGTACACAGAGACCATACGTTTACCAGACCAGTTCAGACCAGACCAGACCAACAAATTTCAGTCCAAAAGAAAACATCCTTAGTCAACACTAAGTTTCATGTTACCAATCCAACATTGTCGGGATTAAGGCGATGGTGAACACCAATTCCAACATGGTCCTGATGCTTGATCAACATCTTCTACGTGCCTGACTGTTTGTGTTCTGTCTTTGAAATATGTTATCCATTTAATTGCAGTATTTGTCACATACATACGTAGGATATTCAAGAATATTTTCGCTCATGCAGAGCAGATATCTCAGGTTAGCATTTCTTTTATGTTTTAAATCAATCCTAGTTTGAGTATAGAAGTCAACACTGTAGTATTTCTCATATAAATGCTCAACAAACCAAATATAACGTAAATCGGGAGGATTTGACTTTGCACCCTATTCTTGGGCAAAATTGGACATTGCATACTAATTTTAAAATAGATATTATTTGTACCCAATCTCTTCAAAAATCTATAAGAGAATGGAGCGCAAGTATTAATTTGTTAAAACGGATGGAGCGCACATATCTTCAAAAATCTGTAAGAGGATTAGAGGAGAAGATGCAAATATTAATTTCTCAAAGAGTTGGGGGTGCTGCACACATTAACTTTTTGAAAATGGTGTGTAAATGTAAACTCGAATTTCATCATGAAGTGGGGAGCAAAGTCAAATTTCCCCACATAAAAGTCACATTCACTTAAAATATGATAAAAATAATGTTAAAAAAATCTTGTGTTTTCAGGCAATGATTGTGAGGGGGTTTCGTGGAGACAGCGAAGTACACAAAGTCTTCTTTTCAGCAAATTCATCTACTACTTTTGTAAATTGCATTTCGTTATTGTTACTTGTTGGTCTGATCACTGCAATCACTATGCCGAAGCAGCTCTTTATATGACATGCTATCTTAGCCTTCATAACTTGCCTAAAGTCCTAAGGAGTGTTTGGTTCGTGTCATCTCATTTTTTTGTCAACACACTGTAATGGAGTTTCACATTACCTAATGACTTGAGGGAATGATAGAAAAAGTGAAGTAGGAAACCATCATTTGAGGTCTCACAATTATGTGCCGTGATCCAAATAACAGCATAGTAAATTATAATATGGAGTGTTCAATTGGGTAATGTGGGATTATTGAGCACATAAAGTGTACAAAACACCTCTTGCTATGGCCTAGCCCCCATAGCTGTACTGCTGTACTTAGCTTAGTAACACTTGCAGCATGCCTTTATTTTGGTGTATAAACAATCAGAATTCATATTCTTTAAATCCCATCACTAACTGAGTTCACATTTCTCCATGTTTTCATCATATGAATTGAATTATTTTGTTTCGGTTAGTAGTAGGAAAAAACTTATGCATTGTATTCGAATTTTAATGATTTTTAATTATCTAGATCAGATTATCATTGATGCTCTTAAGCTGATTGTCACAAAGAAGTTTCTAAGATAGGTGAGTAGGTGACACATGGCCTGACTTGAGGCAAAGAAGTCTCTTGACATCATGCTCTGAAGCTTATAACCCTTGTGAGAATGTGGGGGTCTCTAAAAACCCATTAAACTCATGAAATTGCTAATAATTAACAGTGTACTTCATAGCTAATTGAAAGTACTTCAATTCTAATGTTTGATTAATTGTGCGATAGCGTTGTTGCCTTGCTGCAAGTTCTCCAATCTCCTATCCCTCATCTAACAGTTGAGTTTTCAAACGCCCAACCCAATGCATTTATGTAGTGATGGACCCGGGCAGGGTCGGGCCCGGGTCGGGCCCGGGCTGGGTCAAGGCCCGGTCGGGCCTCGGGTCTGGTAATGGTAGGCCCGGGACCGGCCCGAGCAATGGCCGGTTCCGGTTCGGGCTGGGCCACTCGCCCGGGTCACAGGTCGGGCCACCTGCCGGGCAGGGCCGGGCCAGTATTTTTTTTTTAAATTAATTATATATTATACAAATTCTTATTAAAAACAAAGTTCAAGTGCATTTATTTGAAATAAGAACTACATTTGAGAATTGAGAAAAAAATAACAATACGAAATACATTTTCTAATGAATATCAATTGGGATTTCCGCCACCGTTGGTTGTTGTTTTCCCTTTGTCATAGGACTTCATATGTTTTATTGGCATCTCGTATCCGTATGAATGCCCCAAGCAGCATTCTTTCTTGCACCACCTGCAAGTTGCCCACCATAGTCCGGTCTTCGGGTCCTTTCACTTGTCAAAATTGTTTTGCATAAGGGAAGATGTACTTTCCATATTTAAAATGGTATATGTATAAGTAGGAATGTAGGATAATAAAAGAAGATGAAGATGAAGAAGAGTTGGAGAAGAATTGGAGAAGAGGTGTAGAAAAATGTTAGAAAATAGATGTATTTATAGATGTTTTTGAACCCCACTACCCACACCACCACCCCCGGGACCCCCCTGCCCCCCACCCATAGCCCCAACGGCTATATAGCCGTTTGGGAGGTTTGATTTCAATTTTTTTTTTTAAAGTTATACATATTGTAAAATAAATTAATTAATTTAATGAATTAAGTAAAACTAAAACTATTTGTACTTAGAAAAGTGGTTTGATTTATAATTTACAAATGTTACAAAATAGGTGTATAAGTATTTAAACATATTACATATTGTAAATGTATTTTTAATTTAAAAACCGGCTTTATATTTTAGAAAAATAATTTTAAGTCGTTAGTTTGTAACCAATTAATTAATTTGAGAAGTGCTACATATGAAAAAGTGAACACATATTTATTTGAAATATGAAGTACAAGTTTACAAATTAATTTGAAGTACAACTACAAATTTACAATTTTGAAATATGAAGTACAAGTTTACAATTTTGAAATATGAAGTACAAGTATAAATAAAGTTGACAAGTGCTATAAAATACATTTTATAATAAATTCTAAAATACTAATCAATCGGAATCTCCGGCATAGGTAGAGCCACCATCGGTTGTTGAGTCATCCATAGAATCTTGGGAGAGGGTGATGCTCATTTCTTGAGTTCTACGTGCGGCCTTCAACCAATATATCGTGGTAGCATATAAGCGTCTTAAGAGACTCCGCGCTCAATCTCGATTTAGATGCCGTTAGGACGTTGCCGGCCGAACTAAATTCTTGTTCCACAGCAACTGTTGAAATCGGCATTGATAGTACTTGCTTAGTCATCCGTGCTAAAATCGGGAACGTTCTTTCCTTTGACTTCCACCAGTCTAGAACGTCAAAGTCATCATTTTCTTCAAAATCAACTTCATATGTTAAATACAAAGTAATCTCATTCAATGCACTTTGTTCAGTGACGTGAGTTGTTTTTGTTTTTTTCATAAGATTGTCAAATGCAGATTTAAAAATCGATTTTCCTTTAGATGAAGATGTTCGTGACGAGGGAGGGGAGCGTTGTTATATTGTGCACGAAACTCATTAAATAAGGCATAAAATAAAGTACTAACCTCGTTGTATTCCGTTTTCGGATCTATGAGGTTATCGTCATACATTGGAAATTCACCAAAAAACGCAAGATAATAGAAGTTGAAACAATCTTCCAAATTAGCAAGTCTATAACGAGGATCGAGAATAAATGCAATACCATAAATATGGGAAATATGCGCATAATATTTTAAAAACTTTTCCTTCATATAATCACAAAAATAATGAATGAAAACGGCATTCTCAAATTCTTTAAAAGCACCGGCGAGATTAACAGCTTCACGAATAAATTGGTTTGCGGTAGGTTTATAAACATGACTAAAAGTTTCAGTAGCATTAAAAATAAAATCAAAACATTACAAATTTTTTTGCAAGTGTCGATCTCAGCCGCGTTTATAATATAGTTATCATGTTCTTTTAAAAAAGCAGGAAAATGTTCTTTATATCTAAGAACAACTTTAAGTAATTTATAAGTACTATTCCAACGAATACTCAAATCTTTAGGAAAAGCAACATATCTCACACCTCTTTCAGTCAAATAAGTTTGCCATTTTCATCTAAGTTGACCATTACCCCAAATACGTCTAATCCCCCCCTTGATTACCTCCATGGAATCTCCTAACACTTTTAAACCGTCTTGCACACATAAATTTATAACATGACATGCACACCGTTGATGAAAAAATCTACCCATCAAAGTATTGGCACCACACAACTTACGCAATCTAGGTATAACAGCAGTATTATTAGTAACATTATCGAAACCAATAGCAAACACCTTATCAATCAAATTATACTCAATTAAAATACGTTCAATCAAAATATAAATATGTTCAGCGGTGTGACGATCATTAAATTCACGAAAAGCAAGAACACGTTTATGCATATTCCAATCCTCATCAATATAATGTGGAGTCAGACCCAAATAATATAAATGATGAAAATCATCCTCCCATATGTTAGAACAAATAGTAACACGCCCATCAAAGTTTGCAAAAAAAATTTGTAACCTTGCCTTTTCCGCATTATAAAGCCTTATTATTTCTTTCTTAACAGTTTTGCGACTATAATTTCTAAATTGAGGATTTAAACTACCTTGTGCATAATCTTTTAAAGCAAGACTTTCAGAAAACAAATAAGGCAAATTTTCTTCACAAATTAAGTTAGCCATACCAGTCAAATTTTGTGCATCATTGTAGGAGAAATTACCAAAAGGTTGAGAATTCGCAAACCTCGATATTTGAGTTTGTTTCCCCGTTCCGCCGCCTAATTTTGCATACTCCACGGGGTGCTTTGCCTTACGATGCCTTGCGGCGGATCCGTATCCGCCGGAGGTTCCCAAACTATAATTGTTGTTGCACCACTTGCAAGTTGCGTGCCAATAGCCGGTTTGTGGGTCCTTCCATTTATCAAAATTATTTTTCATTAGTTCAGACTTACTTTTTTTTATTACCGGTGGCGGTTTGGGATGAGGCAGGCTCGTCGGCGTCGTGGCTGCCGGCACCCTCCTCCTCGGCCGTCTCCGGTTCCAATTCCTCCGCATCTTCATCCTCAAGCTCCTCTTCGTCAATGGTCGTCGACATTTGTTGTTGTTGTAGAAAGCGGTTATTATGTCGGGCCAATTCTTGTTGGAGTTGTTCTCCGGACATCACATCTCCATCTCGCCTTTGGTAACCCGTTTCAAAATCATCTCGGCTTTGAGATGAAGAACCGGCAAGTTCTTTACCTTTGCGGGATTTTTTCCTCTCAATCTCGTTCCTTCGATTGCGTTGGAGGTTACCCAAATCCACCGAATATCTACCACCTTCCATCTTAAAAATGTAACAAATATTAATTGACAACAAATATAATAATGGATACAAAACTAATGCAACTAATTAAAACTATTTTAATTAATACTTCAAACTAATTTAGTGGAAAGTAGAATTAATGTGTGACTTTAAAATTAAAATTATACCAACTTTTGAAGTACTTTAATTTAGTAAAAACTACTTAAATAAAATGTTAATATAAGTACTTTAATTAAATGATTGAACTACTATTTCTTCCTACAAATATAAATTGAAAATAAGAAAATGTGACTTTAACTATAATGAATTAATGACAATTAACTAGTTTATTGAAGTAGAGTTACGTTGTTTTAACAATTAATGAGAATACTAATGAAGTAAATAACTAGTATAATGAAAAATGTAACAACAATGCTAATTAACTAATTAACTAGTATAATGACAAATGTAACAAGAATGCTAATAAACTAATTAACTAGTATAATGAAAAATGTAACAATAATGGTAATGAACTAATTAACTAGTTAACTAGTATAATATGCAAAAATGGGTTTTTTAAAATATAACAAAAATGGTAGTGAACTAATTAATGGTAATGAACTAAAATATAACAAAAATGGGTTTTTTAAATTAAAAGAATTTTTTTTTTAAAAAAAATATGACCGTTAGGCCCGGGTTAAAAAACAGGACCCGAGCCCGGACCCGCTTCTCCCACCGGTTCGGTGCCCGAACCGGACCCGGACCCGAGAACCGGGCCGGTTCCGGGCCCGTACAGTGACGGGCCGGGCCGGTCCCGGGCCGGGTGGCCCGAACCGGGTCCACCACTACATTTATGCATCTTCATCATCAATATATATTCAATAGTAAGCTGACCATGAAGGTCTTCGAGTGATCAACTACCACCGACCAAAATAGTGAGATAGATAAAATTGCATAGTTGTTATTACTCTACAAAAACTCTTTGAAAACAAGGTAAGAGTGAAAAAATACAACTCGACCTAACTATAGTATCGACGGAGATACAAGAGAGTAAAATCAGTGGGAAATTGAATGTGTTTTATATCTGTGCATGAAATTTGATTTCATATAAAATGTTGAGCAAGTTGGTCACTACGCGAGTACGCAGTATATGCAGCTTGACTACAATCGATAAAAATTAAAACGGGACCGCGAGTCTTCCATTGGCACACCACCTCTTCCATTGATTAAAAGAATGACCATCCATGGCCGGATTAAGGAACAGATGGAATTTAATAAATAAATAAATAAATAAACACGCTGTTTCTATTGCTCAAATTTTAATTTGTTATCTTTTGATATCTCTTACCGTAGTTGTTTTTTATTTTTATAGTTACAAGAGTTGGTAGTTTCTGATTTGCAAGTTACTTGTTAAGGAAAGTTCACATTTTGATTCTTGAATGGATGAGGTCCATCATTTACTTTTTTTTCAATTTGGATATAAGTATTGCCTACAAATTTATTTTATTAAGCTCGTGTAAATGCTCATCAAATCAAATATGACAAATCACTAATTTAAAGAAATTTGTATTTGTTCCGAATAAATTAAATCACTCTATATAATTGCACTACTTTTGCTTAGCATGCTTTTCCCGCTCAATTGCTCGACCCATTTAGGCCGCACGATCAACTTCATAATCAGCGGCTCATCCTCACTCAGTTTTTTTTTTCCGTTGCCGATCTTCACCGCATCTTTCTTCCTTCCCTCTTTCATAGCAAATATTCATTCCTTCATTTCTAATCTCATTTCATCCATTGCTAGCTAGAATTCATCGATCACTCCTCACCTCTCTCGCTCACAGCCTTCACAGGGAACCGTCTCTACCAGTTTTATCGTGATTACAGAGTAAATTCCATCTCATGTATTTGCATCCTCTTTCCGATTTCAATCTCCAACTATTATTTCATTCTCGATCTTATTTTAGGGTTTTCAAGAATTCATGACCACAGGGATATCTTACATCAAATTTGGGTTCTATAATTGGAGGAATTTAATTCACTTTTAGCTAAAAGCATTAATGAATAAATATAATAGTAATTTCGAGAATTGTAGATTCTCTAAGATTATAGATTTGATAAATCTAACAGTGCGATATACATATACAGATTCATAATCATATACGAAGGATTCTCTTAGAAGTTATTACGAAGTGATCAAATACAGATTCATTGTCAACCAGTCAATATGATATTTGCTGCTGTGAAGTTTGTTGCTCGGTTTTTATCGGTGCTACCCCTTCATTGGGCTTTATAGTGAAATTATACTGAAAGTTAGTTTATATAAGTTTGCTGAAAAATTCTTGACTTTCTTTCATACATATGTCCATACATTTTTCCTTTTCTTATCAAAATAGGAGTATATTACTTAAAGTATACGTAGGGTAGGTTAGAAGAATTTGCTTTTAGTGAATCAAATTTCATATTGGAGAAGATTACAATTGGAAAAGAGCATAGTAAAAAAGTGAAAAAACTGGAATAAAAGAGCCATAGTAAACTTGCTTATTGCTAAAATTAAATGAATGGCTAAAGGTCCGCTCTTGGCCAGATAATATTTACTTCGGCTGTTCTATGGTAGCTCGATTTCCATAACAGCACTAAACATGCATGCGGATCATAGGAGTTATGCAATACAAGAAATAGATTAATTTAGAAGTTAGTGTAAGAATACCTCTTCGTTATATATGGCAGAATAAGATGTGAAGGGGATGAAACTGATCCTGTTCGTTGGAATACCTCTTCATTCATGGAATCATGGATGGTTGAAGCCGGTTGATAGGCGGTTTTGAACCGTCGTTGGCTGCGCAAGAGGCTCTTAAACGGAGACGTTTATTTTGAATCTTTCCGTCTCAATAAAAGGTTAAAGTTGGATGGGAAAAGGACGATTCTAACCAAACTTTCGTTTTATTATTAAACAGAGATATGATTTGATTATGAATGTTTTCCAGTTACAAAGCTTTGTAATACGCATTGTGCGGCATTTATATCATGTTTACTTCTAATATATACCTTATACGTGCAGGAAGTATGCATAGCACGGTGAGTAATACGATTATCAATGGGCAGCAAACATACGTATGATTCCAATTCACGAGCTACCAGTTTCATGACCGACTCCAAAGACTCGCCGTTTCTCCGGTATGTTGCCGAACATATATTACTCCCAAGTATGAATTTCAGGTTTTCAAAACTTTTTTTATTCAGGCATATGACTATTTTACTCCGTATATAAATTTCTTACGTACTTCTCTTCGATACTCTGTATAATTTTTACCTTAGTTTATGATTGTATCAATTTTACTCCTTATTTGTTCCGGAGTAATATATCAGCAAAATTTATTTTATCCTATCATAAAATAATATTTATGATGAGACGTTGAGAGTATAAAAACATATACTTTCAGTTGTTATTGTTATGTTTATTTCAATGTGTTTGTATATATGGATATGAATAATACTTCTAATGACCTAAACTTCTTTATAAATAATTACTCCCTCCGGTCCTTATTAAAGTTCTCACTTTCATTTTAGGGATGTCCCTTATTTAAGTTCACACTTCCATTTTAGGAAACAGAGCAGTGCAAAAAAGTGTCAAACAGTGTCCAAACAGTGCCAAACAATGCACTCCACAATAAAGTCAAATTTATTTTCTTAATCTGTGTTAAGTCAAACTAGGAACTTTAATAAGGACCGGAGGGAGTACTTGATTAGCAAATTTAATATTTTTAATATTCATCAATACCGGCACTCCTTATATATAAATCTAATAATCATTAATTTATATTTAGAGTATTAATACTGTACCATACCTCAGACTCCTTTTCATTATTTGTTAAACATGGCCGTGATAGTCATTGCATTGGCCCTCTTTATTATACTAATTGTTCTGTTGATTTTCATCTCCAATTGCTTATTACCATAGATAGAACCTATAAACATTACATTTTGGAAGAAGGGTAATAGTCTTGAGTATTCAGCACTTTTTCGGGTGCATACATAGTGAATGGGAATTCACTGGATAGACTGATAGAGTTTTTTTTTCATTCAGGAAACTATCAATTCATGATGCTTTCATTTCTTGATCAATTTACTTTCATGGTCGTGGAGTGAAGTCCTAAAATGGTCCTAACCAGTTAAGTACGTGATGGGCCGGTCCGGGCCCAATTACTAGGTGGGTGGCAGGGTGGGGATGGTGTTTTTTTGCCCGGGCCGGCAAATGGGAAATTATTCAATTCTTTAGTTATGTTTTAAACAAGTCGATCAGATCACACTAGAACACTACAGTCCAATTTATACCCTCATTATATTACGGTACTTTGTCTGGAAGTGATAACATATTATTAATTGTTTTTATCCATATTTATTCATTACTATTTAAGATAACATTTATTGGTGATAATATTCAGATTTTTTAAATTGAAATTAGAAGTAAAAAAAATAACGGACGATCAATGGTTGACATCACTGAAGAATTTATTACACCTATGACAGATGATTCTATCGAAGCTATTGTTAAGATCACCTATCTCGATTTTGAAATACCCTAATGACATTTCTTATTTGAATTCCAGGAAGTTCTGATCTAGCGCCAATCATTGATGAACGCGACAAGATCAACTATTACATGTTGAATTGTTGGGGTTGACTCCTTACATGTTGGGGTTGACTCCTGGTGAGATTAAGACACACTTAAGTTTGGACTTGATATCTTCTTTTAATTTAAACGGTGCACATCTATTCTCCAAAATTTCTCAAGAGTACTAAATGTTATGTTATGCCAAGACACGAGCTAAAACTTAAATTGGATGGGGTGCTGCTAATGAGGAATACAAATCTTTCCTCCGAATATGTGATGATGACTGATGAAAACCGGCCACCAAGACTTCAAATGTTGTTTACAAGAGTATATATATAATAATTTTTAATGTTTAACCTTCATTTACTTTTGTTGAAAACAATATATGTATTGATCTATCTCAATCACAGTATCTTTATATATTCCGAATATGTATTGCTTACTAACTACATCCCGTGCGAAGCACGGGTGAAAATCTAGTATGCTCATAATACAGTGATCTATGGGTACTTGAAAAATGGTGATGCGTGAGAGGTGGAAAGGCTGTATACGAATTTGCTTTATAGGGGATGTGTTCATTCCAGTGACATACAACATCTTGATTAGTGGTTTTGTGAAAATGGTGGGATGTTCAGGGGAGGAGCCAGGACACTGGGCGGTACTGGGCCGGTACAAAATATATTTTTGAAATTTGTTTACACATAATTTTTTACCCAAAAAATACAAGCATTTTTAAAATTTGGGCTGGGCCAGGGATGACCCTCCCCTAGCTCTGCCCATGGGGATGTTCTTGAAAGCTTATAGATCGTTCCAACATATGGCTAATAAGGGTTGCAAGCATGGGTTGCACCCATCAATTGCCTTGTGGCCCTTGCACAAGGTTTTAATCAAGAGACTATCTGAGGAAGGGCGTGTTAAGGAATCAAAGTTGTTTATAAAGGATAGGTGGGCAGTGGGCTGTAGTTTGGTACACGAAATATATAATCATTATGATTTTATGCAATGGAGTCAAATATTCACTATTTTTTTACTTGGGAATATGATGGAATAAAACAAAATGGGTCACAAAACTATCTATGCTTCTTGTTATGATGCAACAGTTAATTCACGCAATTTTGGACGCGATTTTCACCATGGGTCATCCGAAAACAGTGTCTACTAAACAGGGGTAAGGTTGCGTACATCCGACCCCCCTTACACCACTGTAGGTGGGAGCCTTTGGGACACTGTTATAAGGTGTAGGACTGTAGGCCAAGACCATACATGACTTTAGAGAGACTGATCTATTCCCTGTCTCAAACAGGTAAAATAAGGGGTGCTTTATTCATTTTAGTTTACATGCATAAGTTGGGGATGCAGCCGTTGACTTCTTTGTACAAGTTTTTAGTTAAGAAACATTGTGAGGAAGGGCATGTGGAGAAAGCAAGGTAGGTTTCAAGAATAATGGCTTAAATCGCAATTATGCCATAGTTCCCAACTTCCCATAACAAAGGTAAGGGGCTGTTTACCTGGGACTTAATGGACTTAATAGATATGGTGACTTAATTATTCGGTTATAAAGTTGTGTTTACTTACAACTTAACAAAGAAGATGACTTATTCGCTCAGACAAACTGTAACTTATTCGTTCAGCACAAAAACTATACTTCTTCCGCTTCAGATGTGTGAACGGACGAGTTTTCTCTCTTTTAGCCTTTGGAATAAGACTTCCACCCTCTGAACTAGTCTCTCCCTTCACATACGTAGCAGTGGACGGTCATTTTCATTGGAAGCAGATCGACAGATAAGATAACGATGCATCTCATTTGTTCCTTAATTGAATATTTGTTTGGATTATTCCTTGATTGAATATTTGCAAAGTTCCTCTATTTTATATCAAAATAGAGTTCCGCTTCTCCATTCTTGATCGATGCATCTTAGTTATTCCTCAAAATCTGGCATGGATTGCTTTTTTTTTTTTTACAGTGGCATGGATTATTTGTAAATCGCTATTGATGCAAAAATAAAATGCATTTGTGCTATGAGATTATATATATATGTCAATTCATGTCGGTTTGATGGAACATTATGATTCTTTTTTATTCATTAAGGTCAAGTTTGTTTAATTTAGATTTGTGTAGCTCTTCTCTTCAAATTTTAGATTATTGGTTACTGAATTGAATTTCTGTAACATGTGGACTGCTTTTTTTGTTGATGAGGGGATGGAAAAATTAATACGGTGTATGTATGAAAGTTATATTGATACGACGTATATGATATTATAATTTATTTTTGGGATTTTGATATACCATTAGGAAATAAGTTCTTGGTTGTTGCTAATATACAAGGTTAGTTCTTATTTCCTAAACTTGTAATATACCATTAGGAAATAAGTTCTTGGGCCGGTTCCGGGCCCGACCGGGCCGGTTCCGGGCCGGTTCACCCGCCCCTTTTTTTTTTTTAAATTTTTGGCTTCTCTTATTTAACCCTCTACCCCTCCCCCTCAACCCCAAACCACCTCAAATGGCCCAAAATAACTAATCCAACCCAAAAATTAAAAAAATTTCAAAAAAAAAATAAAAAAAAAAATTATTTCGGCCCGGACCGGGCCCGAACCGGCCGGGCCGGTTCACCAAATGGAGGGCCCGGGCCCGGAACCGGTATCCACCGGGCCGGTTCGACCCGAACCGCCGGTGGACCGGGCCACCGGGCCGGGCCGGTTCACACAGTAACCGGGCCGGGCCGGTTCCGGTTCGGGCCGCCCGGCCCGAGTCCAGCCCTATTTTTAGGTAATCGAAAAATCAGACAGAAGAAGTGTCCGGTCAGGCGTAAACTAATAATATACATACAGTATTTATAATAGATAGGAGAGTTATTTGGTCATTTAACATAATTCAGACTTCTCATTTAGCACACATAGTAAACAGTTTGATATCACAGTGTCACTTAATCCAGACAGACGTCTTAATTCATTCAGGACTTAAAGAAAAAAGAAAAAGTAAACGGCCCCTAAAGACATCTTTTCCAAGAAAAAGGAACAATTCTGAACCACAAAAACCCAACAAAGGCGATGCCATCACTCTTTCTGGGAGTAACCGGTGTTGGAGGCATTACCACTAAATCGACTCTATTCAACTAATATTAATAATATTGTAATTCAAAAACCATTCAAATAAAGATGTGTAAAATTTATAAATGATCATTAGAGTTCAAAGCACTTTAGACATGTGTGGAATTGTGGATGAACAATTAGACAATATCATTGGAGTTTACAACTTCAAGTACTCCACCGAACCAATACGCCAACATCCTATTAACCAAGTCAAGGAATGAGAGCAACATATACGTATACACACCACGTTATTATTACACCAAAGGGAAACCAGGCATCAAAATGTGAATAAGTAGCAGCAGCAGCAGCATATCTAGTTCTCCCCTTGCTTAAGCATCCGCAGAATGGTGAGGAAGAGGTTAAGAACATCTAGATACAAAGTGACAGATGCCCATATGTACTCATCATATGTGAACCGTTTGATCAAGTTGTCTGTATCATACACGATGTAGCCACAGAAAATTATAGCACTGATGGCACTGTAGACAGCCATGGATGTAGATCCAAGAGGGAAGAACATCTGCATGATCATCATTCCAACACCTCATCAACTATATAAAACTCCTATGTTGTTCCTAACTGAACTTCATTTTTACTATTAATGCAGCCAACATGACTCAATTGTAATCTCTAAACTTATGAACCAAACTTACGCATAATAAAATTCAATTTTTGCAATTCAATGCAACTTTTAATATAGCTTCTTTGAAAATGTGAACTGGAATTAATAAAACTAATTTATGTGTTAGTAAGTGTGAATCAACTTTATCATAAAGAGAAACATCCCAAATCATTAAATACAGTTTATAAAGGATGGAGGTTGTAATAGTCTGATAGAATAAAAAAGGAAAGGAATAAAAAGGGAAAAAAGGGTATATGTGAGTTGCCTGGATGAAGCCGGTCAAAACAAGTACAAATAGGCTGGTAAACAAGATTGGCCCAATGAAGCTGAAGTCCTTGCCCTTTTTAGCAGCCCAGAAAGTGTACCCAGTCAAAGCTGAAACTACAGCTGATGTCAAGATCAGAGCCTCAAGTACAATCCTACCTGCGATTATCAAGAGAATCTAAATAATGTAGTGAAACCGCTTACAATTGAAAGAAATCTTCTATTTAAAGGTGCACCCCATCCCAGAACTGACTAGATAGTTTGTCGAGAGTTAAATTGAGCTATAATTGCAATCTAGTTGATAAAAAATGTGGTCTGCACCGAGTACTTACAGAGACCCCAATCTAGTTGGTCAAAGGGTGACATTTGCACCTCTATTTACATCATACTTAGCGGAACCCCTTGATAATCAAGGGTATTGAGCTATACTCACTAGCAGCAAAAGAAATTTTTTAAATGAATGGAAGGACCAAATACGTACCATCTGTATTGGCACAGCTCATGCCAACAGTGAGACTCAGAGATGTGGTGAAAAGTCCAAGGAACACAAAATTCAGCGGATGCCTCTGCTGATAGACGTGGAGAGGCCACAAGACTGCAATTTATAAATTCTCAGACACTTTCATACTTTCATGATGCAACAAGCATGTGAATACAACACGGACAAATGATTGAGCACTATACACACACAATAGACATGCAGTTATATGATCAAAGAATAAGTGAAAATGTGCAGTCTACTCGTCAGCCATGCTGGAAGCGGTTACCAATTATTGAAACGCGCAAAGAAAAAATCATGTACACCCCCAAAGATTGTGAAACCTGAGCATACAGATAATACACATAATCACACGCATCACAGCCACAAGGCTGATTGCCGAAATTAATTACGAATGAATCATCCATCATTGAAGCTAATGAAAATTTGACCCTTCTCAATAAAGCCCAAAATAAAAATAAAAAAACTGAACTCATAAGGAATACAAATCCAAATGAATTACAAATCTCAACCCTGAAATTTCTATGCAGTTCCGTATTAGAACGAAATCGCAGTGAATTTGGAGCACCGACAATCTAGGGTTTGAGAAGAAATGGGAAGACGGAACTTACAGATGAAAGGGAGGAAAACGAGGAAGAGGAGAAGGCCGGAATTAGTCCTCAGAAGCTCGTTGACAGGGGCGTATAAAACAGTTGCGGCGGAGACGAGGGTGGTCAGAAGGATCTGAGCGGCGAGAATGCCATAGACTTTTCGGATGAAGGCCCATCGCAGAAGATTCTCTCCGTAGCCGAGCCCTGGGTACAAAGTCCCTTCCTCTATATCACCTTTCACTTCACCATCGTGGCTTCCGCGGCTCAGTCTCTCGAATCCGATCATCTTCTTCTCGACTTTCTTTAGAACTCTACGGCTTTTTCTGTATTTCTATCGAGCGGTGCGGTGGGATTTATCGGTGGAATTATGTTTGACTGTTTGCAGGTATTTCTTTATGAATCTTCCAACCATTGTTTTATTCTTTTCTTTTTTGAAGGCACATTATTGTCGAATTTTGAGAAGCACGCCCTCGTTTGGTTGTGACTTCTTAGAAATGATTTAGGGAGTCTTCTTAGCAGTCCCAAAAATAAGTTCTCATTTCTTTAAACAGTGCAGTTATCTTACAAAAATTATTTGACTGTCTTTCTGATTGAATTTTTAGCTGAAATTTGGTATGGATAAACTAGACTTGATGAAGAACGTGCTCGAAAAATTTCATCAAAAAAATCAACTGGGAAGTGCCCAAAATGCTCTCGTCCGGACGGCGGTTCCCGTAAGACCGGTTGGACATGAAGTTTCCTCTTGTATGTATTGGTATTATACTATTCACATTCAATAAATTAAAATATTACAATTTTTTTTTCATACGGGTCATTTAGGATTAGGGCTGGACTCGGGTCGGGTGGCCCGACCCGGGACCGAACCGGCCCGGTCACTGTTTGGCCCGGCCCGGCCCGTGGCCCGGTGGGTCCACCGGTTCGGTTTGGCCCGGCCCGGGTGCTGGGCGGTCCGGGCTCGGGCCCAGGTTTTGGTGAACCGGCCCAGCCGGTTCGGGCCCGGTCCGGGCCGGATTTTAATTTTTTTTTTTTGAATTTTTTTTAAGTTTTAGGTTGGATTAGGTAGTTTGGGATGGTTTGAGGTTGAGGGGGAGGGGTAGGGGATTAAATAGGAGAACAAAAAAAAATTAATTGGGCCGGTTCGGCCCGGCCCGGTTTGGCCCGGAACCGGTACCGGAACCGGCCACCGGCGGTTCGGGCTCGGGCCTCCCCTTTCCTGGCCCGAGGCCCGGCCGGGCCCAGGCCCGAACCGAGCCTGAACCGGCCCGAGTCCAGCCCTATTTAGGATTCAAGGGGATCAAATGAAAACAAACTAATGCCCTTTAATCATTTTTGGGTACCAACTAGGGATGGACCTACGTCGGGCTAGGCCTGGACGGTATCGGTTCTTGAAAATCGGAGCCTGGTATCGGCCCGGTTTGCTCCGGTACCGGTCTGGGCCCAAACAGTACCGGGTCGGGTTGGTACCCACCCATTTAATTAAAAATAAAAAATAAAAATAAAAAGTTTTTAGGCCCGGATCGGGCCCAAAAAATCAAGTCCGAAGCCCGATCCATTCTACCAACGGTCTGGGTCCCTGGCCGGGCCAGTCGGGCCGAGTTCGTCCCTAATACCAATGGACTATTCTCCTCATGCAAGTGCTCTTTTGTTTCTTCTTTCACTTTTTTCAAGCAAAGAGAATACTAACTTCATTGATGATTAGTTTTAGATTAGAATACATATAGATATGTGAATTTGGTCATCTATTTATCTTTTTTGGGGTTGACAATAAATTCCGGTTCTTCATATTCTGTGGAACCCTTTAATACATTTATATGCTTGAAACACATTATGCGTGAATGAGGATAGAATATGAATTGAAGGTTAGCTAGACTTTTCTGTAGAGTTGTGCCTCACATATAAGGAGTCATCTCACGTATGCTTGACACTTGATATTTTTTTCATTTTCCTTCGAATAGGGATGCCCTAAAAATCTCTTCTTGATTCCTAAGGAATGAATTTGTGATTGATATTGTGTCTCTTCATCTAAATACACTTCAACAACCTAAATATATCCCTCCATACTTCAAAACTTTGTCAAGTTTGATCAACAAAGAAAATAATAAGTATAAACTTTGTGCTTGTAGTTTGTGCAAAGGAAAGAAAAATAATAAGAACCACGAATTAATTGATTCAAAGAGGAAGTGACAAAGTTTTTAGGACAATAAAAAACAAGATGACAAAGTTATATAAGATAGAGAGAGTGTATTAATAAGTGTTTAGTCAAAAGCATAAAGAAGGTAAGGATGGAAGACAATTTGTGCAAAACATATGAAGTAGATGTATGACAAAGTGTTGCATCCTTTGAAGTTTATGCATGTTTACATAATTTAATGCAATTGTCATCTATGAGCAGGGGTGGACTCGGGCCGGGCGGCCCGACCCGGTCACTGTTTGAACCGGCCCGAACCGTCGGGATTCCGGGCCGGTCTCGGGCCCCTCAAAAGGTGAACTGGCCTGGCCGGTTCGGGGCCGGTCCGGGCCATTTTTTTTTTTTTGAATTTTTTTAAGTTTTTGGGCTGGGCTGGGTATTTTGGGCCATTTGAGGTGGTTTGGGGTGGTTTGGGGGTGGGGGAGGGTTGGGGGTTAATTAGGAAAAGCCAAAAAAAATTGAACCGGGGCCCGGCCCAGCCCGGCCCGACCCGGGGGTTACCCGGGCCGGTTCTGGGCCTCCCCTTTCATGAACCGAGGCCCGACCGGGCCCAGGCCCGAACCGGCCCGAGTCCGCCCCTATCTACGAGTATCACAAACAACATGAACCAGTCCTTTACACTAATAATACCTAGACTTTAGTTACATGCATGTAGACCATCTTCAATTCTAGAAATAACAATGACGAGTTGAACTCCACTCTCCTAATGGGATATGCTGGAACAGCCACCTGAAACTAAAACATTTCGGGTTTGCCTTCTTTGCATTAAAAACCACGACATCGGCACAACTATCCTTACATTCCCAATAGTGGCTTCTCAATCTGGATTGAGAAAGCATAAAGAGAGCCCAGAATGCAAAAATTAGCTTTATTAAAATTAGCCTTACAGCTTAAAGTCTTAAACAAAGAACAGTTGTATATCCATTGTCATTCAAAATAAGGAAATTGGCTCTTGAAGATGACTTACTTCTTGAATCTTTCAATTTGGGCACAAATTTTTCTCTGGCTCAATTGAGAAGCCATGAGGATTCCAGCATCATGCTAAGAACATGGAATAGACGGAAGTAGCAAAGATTTCTGTTTCAGCTTAGGGCACGATCAAGAACCAGATACTGAAACAATGAACTTAGATTATATGTCAACTTCAAGTACAGGGCACGTTTTGATAATGTGTGTGATTGAACATTGAATTTCCCTAAGATTAATTGGGAATTCTGTCAAAATAAAACTAATTTTGTCCATTAACTTATAAATTGCATTCCATTTTGTCCATCAAGCTTACAACATGCAACTCCACACAAAGCAGATGAAAACTCTGCTCTTCATCTAAAATATACGAGTAACTGATACTTGTTTGGCTTCAACTCCAAAGCAGAAGATAGAAAGTCATTGGAATGCCATAGGAACTAGAACCCCAGATTGGGCAACTGAGCTAGTTTTTCTATTTCTTTAATGATCAACTCCTTTTCTTCTTCAAATTGGTCATCTTCTTCGCCACCTGCAGTTGATATTATAAGGTCGGTTTAACAAGAGCTGGAGATGGAGTATTTTGAAGTATGACAGCGGCAACTCATACAAAAAGCCCTCTGGTTGACTATCATACCTTTCCCGGTGGATAGACTGTAAAGCAACTCCAATAATCTTTCGTGATTTTTTGCCAGAATCGCTTTTATGTCCTTAGGCTTGTTGGGGTTCGCCACAAAGACCTAGAGATCATACATTGATAAAAAATTAAAAATGTTATCAACAAAATCTAACCATTCAAGCAAATAACCTTGACTTCTTTATGAGATGATGATTGATGATATAGAAAGGAAGCATGCTTTTAGCACAAAAATATACCCAAGTGGCCAGGTGCATTGCAAGTTAGTAATTCAATACCCTATTATTATGAAAATAAAGCAGATCCTAAATGTGAACTTTCAGTTGGGAGTCCAAAACTTCCATTCAAGCTCTTAATAAAATACCACCCCCTCCTTCCCATCAACCTCTTTTCACCATATCTATTTTAATCATGACACTATCAGATCGTTAAAAACATTGAAGAAGGAAGAACTATTTATCACCTTGAAAATGTGGAAAGCAGATATCTGGATATTTTTGCTTGAATCCTGCTTAAGTTGGAATTCATGAGATCAAAAGGGAAAGTGGTGAAAAAAAGATTCAAGAAATGAACTAGGAATTCTGGTACATATTAGAGACTGCCATATAACATCCACTTCGGAGAAAGCACAATGAAGTCTCTTTGTTCAAAGGCAACACATTGACTCAGAGTAGATCTTTAAAAAGGAAATAAATGCATTTAAGAGGGAATAAATGCAATACCTTTAGCAATGTCATCATGACTTTCAAATGTTTAACTTCAGCAATATAGCGCTTCATTATATGGGAGTTGGGAGGTTCTAATAGAAATTCTGACAAAAGCTGAAAGTTGTGAAGAGAGATGAATCAGCAGCTTTAGAGAAATAAAAAAATTACAGCCACAATATCAGATATCAACTGACCTTCAGAGACTGCCTCCTTGTGACGTAGTTGGATGACGTTAGGAGTTTTTCATACTGCTCAAAGAACTAGAAGAACAACACCAGTTTCGTAAAAACACCAGAAAACAAATGTATATTGAATCATGTTATGGTAACAATGAGGTATTATACCTACACAAAGGGCATGTTCTTTAAAATTTTATGCTGAAAAAGAGCTAACAGACCTCATCATAGTGAGCAGTCAGGAACTCCGACACTGCAGATGAGTGTTTTGTAAGTAAATCCTGTGAAAAACTAAGATATCTTCAGCAGTAGCTATAAGAAATGAAGAATAAATGTCAACTACTACGTGTCTACGTATACACTATTAATCCAGAAAAATGACCTTAAAGGTAGAAAATGCATCAGATGCAACATCAAAGTTAGCCAGCTCTACAAACTTGAAGAATAATTCGAAGCAAGGAGACTCCAAGATGTACCTTAAAGAAGAATAAGATTGTTCTGAGCAAAAATAATAGATTTAAATGTATATTAATAGAGCAAGTATTTTGAACCTCTTCACTCTCATAATATTAACATCGACCTGACATTATAAAAAATCCATAGAAGCACACAGAAAAAGTTCTTACTAAATTAACATGCATTCAAATAAGTTATCAAATAACAAGACAACTTTGCTTTATTTTACCTTTAGTTGACTAGATAGTTTCTACATGCTTCTAATCCAATGTTTATATAGAGAAATTATGGGCCTAAACCTAATGGACTAAACCATATGTGATATGACTTCTAATTTTC